CTGAGGTTATTTTATCTATTTTTCATTTAAAAAAAAAAAAAAAAAAAAGAAAAAAAAGATGGTTTTGCTCTGGGACATGTGCAAAGCGTGTTTTAGCTTCCCCGTATCGCGGGGAAGCACTCACCCCGTGCACGGCGGTGCTGGCCCCACTGATGCTGCCCTGCCGAGCTGGTCACCGCCTGGTTTTGGCAGCAAATTTGACGCCTTCTTGCTCATCTAGAAAACAAGGTACTGGATAAAATGAAATACGCAGCGCTCCGAAACACCCCATAAATCTCTGGATGCGGAGCTTTATCTCGGTGGACCCTGCGGATGCGCTGAGCGGGTCGGCTTCCCCCTGAAGGAGAAGATGGCAGCAGATTGGGGGGAAAGCGCCTTTTTCAGCTAAAATCCCGTGGGGTTGCTGGGTTGGTGAGTCCCGTGGTCTGACGAGCAGCTCGAGGATAATGGGATGTTGGTTTAGGTTTTTAGGTCGTGTTTGGATAGCGAGCGGAGCAAACCAGGGAGCTGCGCGGCTTGCAGGGCCCCGTGCGGTGCGGCTTTGTCAGACCTTTGGTTTGGGTTTTCAGGTGCAGCCGTGCCTCAGTTTCCCCAGCGGGCAAAGAAAGGGCCCCTTCCCGCGCTACGGTGGAGCCCAGTGGCTGGCGGCACCCTTGTGCGGGTGTGGTGGGACTCGGTGACCCAGGACAGATCGTTTGGGGCCCCTGATGCCAGCGGTGTCTCTGTGGCGGTGCAGCGGGGTCCTGGCCGTCCTCGCTGCCCTGCGCAGCCCAGCGGGTTTAGGGATAGGAGTTGTGAGGCTGTGGCAGCGCGGTCGGAAGGACCCTCTTAGCCCTTCCGCTGCGCTCGAGCGGGGAGGGAGAAGTAACTCGAGGAAAGTAGGTGGGAGAAGGAGGAGAGCAAAGCCACCGGTCGCTGATGTGATGCAGCCCATGGGCTCGGTGTCCCCCATGCTCCTGGCATCCCCATGCTCCCCATGTTCCCAGCATCCCGGTGCTTCCAGTGTCCATGTGCTCCCCATGTTCCCAACATCTCCATGCTCCCAGTGTCCACATGTTCCTCATGTTCCCCATGTTCCCAGCATCTCCATGCTCTCAGTGTTCATGTGTTCCACGTGTTCCCCATGTTCCCAACATCTCCATGCTCCCAGTGTCCACATGTTCCTCATGTTCCCCATGTTCCCAGCATCTCCATGCTCTCAGTGTTCATGTGTTCCACGTGTTCCCCATGTTCCCAACATCTCCATGCTCCCAGTGTCCACATGTTCCTCATGTTCCCCATGTTCCCAGCATCTCCATGCTCTCAGTGTTCATGTGTTCCACGTGTTCCCCATGTTCCCAACATCTCCATGCTCCCAGTGTCCACGTGTTCCTCATGTTCCCCATGTTCCCAGCATCTCCCACACAGCCACACGCCTGCAGCCCGCGCACACTCACAGTGCCCACGCTGACACACACACGGGGGGGTGCGCGCAGATGTGCACGCACGCTGGTGTGCAAGCCCACGCGCGGCCCCTCGCACGGCCAGAAACGGGGACCTGGGAAGGAGGCGGCTGTAGAACCCAAATCCCGGGACTTTTCGCAGTTCCCCGAGTGCCCTCGCAGAGGGTTGAGACGAGGAGCGGTCACGCAGCAAAACCCCCCGCCCAGTGTCCATGTGGTCCCCGTGTTCCCAGCATCTCCATGCTCTCAGTGTTCATGTGTTCCACGTGTTCCCCATGTTCCCAACATCTCCATGCTCCCAGTGTCCCTGTGCTCCCCATGCTCCCGGCATCCCCCTGCTCCCATCATCCCGGGCACGCAGACCCCCAGTGATGCCTCTTCACCTTTTTCTCCTCCCCACCCCGCAGGAAGAGCAGCAGAGCTGGAGACGATGACTGCTGAGAGTGCCGAAACCAACGGACCCATGCGGGAGCTGGAGGCGGGGGGGACCAAGCCACCGCCCCCCCCTGCCCCACCGCGGCGCCGGGGACGCCGGCTGCGGCGCAAGTCACCGCCAGAGGTCCCAGTGAAGGGGCAGCTCCGCATGCGCTCGCCGTCGGGAGCCTTCGTCATGGTGGGCATCTCGGTCGTCCTGGTGGGCATGACCATCGCTGTAGTGGGCTACTGGCCCCACCGAGGAACTGGGAGCACTGGGGCCGGCGTAGGGAACGGCAGCGTTGCTGGGGACATGAGGAGGGAGGTGGCCACCGGGCGCCACGTGCCCCACAGCGAGAAGCTCAAGTTGATTGGCCCCGTCATCATGGGCATCGGGCTCTTCATCTTCATCTGCGCCAACACCATGCTGTACGAGAACAGGGACATGGAGACCCGCAGGCTGATGCAGAAGGGGCTCTACTCCATGGCGGCGGGTCTCCCCGAGGGGACCGGCCCTGAGGACGGGCACTGCCAGCGCGGGGACGGCCAGCCCATCCCCAAGGCCAACGCCGAGTGCGTGGAGGGCTGCTACCAGGTGGATCTCTCCTGCCAGCCCTGCCCCGGCCCCGGCAGCAAATGAGCCGACTGCTACGGCCCCA